TTTTCTCCCTTAATATCCTATTGTGTATATAATTTTATTTCATATATATATATATATATATACACACACACACAGAGATATGTAGGTAGGTAGATAGTGTATATGTGTAGGGAGCTCTGGTGGCCTAGTGTTAAGGAGCTGCACTGCCAACCCAAAGGCATGCAGTTCAAATTCTTTGCAGGAGAAAGACGAGCAGACCTCCCATGTGATGTCCTCCCTCTGAAAACCTGCTGGAGGGTCAGCTATGAGCCAATACCAACTCAACGGTACATCATAACAACATGTATATATGTTGTATTGCTGGAAATATTTTCCACTTTTGGCATAGAGAGCAAAAGATGAGGGATTGAGTTGAAACCTTGCATGTTTCTGCTTTCTCTAACTGCCTGAGGGGAATGGATTTTAACAGGGAAGACCTGATGATGTTGGAATTTTCAGTCTTTTTCCACATTCCAAGGTCAAGGTCATACCTTCTTATTTGAGAGCTTTGGGTGTGAAGCCTATCATGCCCCCTTACCTTGGGCTCTCTGGAGATCTTAGGGGCTGGGCCTCTGCTGTCTGAACTGCTCCAGGCTTCTGCCTGTCTCGCAGGCTCCAGCTCAGCTCTCTTGGTGGAATATCATGAACAGAGGTCGCTGTGACCTCTCAGCTCTCTTTCTTTTCATGTTGCAGTGATTCAGTGCCTGGCATATGACAGACATGTAAGAAATAGGAACAATTATGATTTGTGAGTTTGGGGTTTTTTTTAGTGGAGCATTACCCCTTTTTCTTCTAATTACTGCAGATGTCTTTCTGAAGATTGTGCTTTTAAAATCCGTTAGAAGCACTCTGAAACTAGTGCATCATCATGCAAAGGCTGAGCTTTTTCTAATGCTTTAGAGCTGACAGGGAGCTAGCTAGCTGACTGCAGCATAGATCTGGGAACTATCGCCTCTCTTCGTTCTTCCTACAAGGAGATGAAGTAAGTGGTCCCAAATACCCACTGCTCTGGGCTGAGATGGGTCAGGTTTAGGTGTGCTGATCGGCCTCCATATTGCCTGGCCATCAGGAGGTCATGTCATCCAAATCTTTGCAGGAGTAACTTGTCCCATGTGTTTCCTTAGGAACCTTGCTCTGCGAATCCAGCCTCCCCTCACAGCAAAGCCTGGACCTTCAGAGCTGTAGACAAGAAGGCTTATGAGTGCTGACAGCCACCTTGTGTAGCTCACTAGTGACAAAAACAGTTGTCCCCTGCCCTCCTGAATGCCCAGTGGTGGTGTAGGTCAAATGCCTACATTTGAGGATGGCTACTGCCCCTTCAGAACCGTAACAGAACCTTCCAGATACCCTCCAGGGTAGGAATAATCATCGCTATTTCACATCTGAGGAAAATGAAGCCCATGAGGGGACACCAGCCTGCCCAGTGTCATTGGATGCAGCCCTGTCTGTCTAGCATGCGCTGTTCGCATTAGCACTGTACCCCAGGCAGGCCCATCAGCCAGAGACCAAAGAAAGACCTCAAGGTGCGCTCATTGTGGCTGCCCCTCTGCTTACTGTCCTTTCACTGGGCCAGCCCCAGCCAGGGTACTCTGAGAACAGGCCAATTCCAGCTCCCCAGTGAAGGCTTCCTCTGTACAAACTACTGACTTCATGGGGCCTGGTGCCACTTCTCTCTGCTCTGTGGAGATGCCTAGTGGCCATTCTGAATTCTGAGCAGACATTTCTTCCTCTGCCAGGAGTCCTTCTGGAGGGCTCATCTCTGTCCTCACAGAGCTGACAGGGAAGTCCAAGAGCACATTTGCTAACGGCCAAACCCTCAGCCTCTGTAAGCCTTGGTGCACCCATAATGTCAGGTGTGGCAGCTCTAGGGGAAAGGCCTTGCCCATTGAAGCCCAGTGCAGCCCAGTGCCAGGATTTTAATAGGACTTACTGGCTCCAGTACCCATGAACATCTTAAAAACTCTATATCTGTGACCCTCCCATGGACACACATACTCTGAGCAGATAGGATGCTGAATCACTTTTGCTTATAACTTGGGTTTCCAGATATCATGCTGTGTTAGTTTCCACCTTCACTAGAAGTACTTCGCCTCCTTAGTCTTGTCTGCAAAATAGGTCCATAGCTTCCAGGTCAGGGTGCTGTAATGGCCACAGGACCCTTGGAGAAAAGAGCTGGCTGATAACAGGCGGTTCGTTGAAGTGAGGTGCTCCAAATCTGAGCCCATGGTTGTCTGAAGACAGGTTCCTCCTCTGATTTTCATTCTGCCTCAAAGTCCCCCATAACCCTGCTTCTGCAAGAGGTGGGCTGTTCGCGTTTGCTTCTTTCTCCTGTGTGACCGTGGGGTTTCCTGCTGGGAGGCATCTCACTGACAGACTTACTGTTTCATTCTTCCCTGCTTTCTGACACATCTTCCAGGCCATCCGGGTGTTCTTCATGCTCCGCTCCCTATCGCTGCAGCTGCGAGGTGAGCCCGAGACCCAGCTGCCGCTCACGAGAGAGGAGGACCTGATCAAAACCGATGATGTCCTGGATCTGAGTGAGTTGACTGTCCCATGTTGTAGCAGGGTGCTGGGAATACTGACCACATGACTCACAGGGCACGGGCCATTGTGTGATTTCTGTTTGCTCTAGGGTTGATTCATAACCATCTGTGAAATGTTTGGAGAGAGGCCCCAGAGTCTGGGGTGCTGCCAGATAGATCTCCGCTGATGCTTTGCTCAGGTAGCTGTGGAAGCCGAGTGAAATCTCAAGTCAGGGTAGACACTGCGTCAGATTCATGGCCCTCCATGTACCTGTAGCAGCAGTTTGATTGGTTTTGTTGTATTTGAGGGTTTCTGTATGATTCCGGTAATCATGGGATTCTGCTGATATAAAGCTTACAAATCAAATCACTTCTTTTTAGATAGAGATGAGAACTTTGGAAGTGGGAACCCCATTGGGCTTAGCATGGAACTTTGAGCTGCTTTTTAACCACCCAGTGTCTGAGTGTCCTCATCTATGGCATAGGGTGAGACTTAAGGCAACAGATGGAAAGTCTAGGTCCTAGTCCCTGCTACCTGTCCCTTCTCTTGTGTTTGTATAATTTTTCTCTCATCTATTTGCTGTGGACTGTGTGTACCCTCGTGAGCAAGATGGTTTTCTGTCTCTTGAAGTCAGCATGTATGTTAGAATTTTTTGGATTTAAGAGATAAGAAAATACAACTCAGACTGGCTTAAGGTAAAAAGATAAATTGGCTGATGCATTGGAAAGACTGAGAGTAGCTCTGCCTTCAGACACAGCTGGTTCTGGATCCTCAAGCAGCGTCGACAGGAATTTTCTATGCTCCCTCTCAGCCCCTAGTTCCCTTGCTATGGCTTCACCCTAAAGAGGGCTTTCACTATGCTTCTGAAACATGATGGGCACTATCAACAGCTTCAAGATGTGTAAGGCTCATTAAGAAAAGAGCTTTGTTAAAAATTATATGTATATTTATCCAGGATAGTGCTCTAGTGCTCACATGGACTACTTGGACATATGGCCATTCGGAACCAGGAAATGATTAAAAGAATGTGATTCACATAGGAAGGGTCACATGTCTGGTCCTGGACCCGGGAGATGGGCGTGTTTCCTTATGAACCATATCACTCAAGAGTAAAGGAAGAGGAGGCCTTTGGAGGAAAATTCTTGAGAAGGGATGAATGCCGGACAGACAGAAATAACAGATGATCGATATAAAAGGAGTAGATGCAACATGGGGGTGGTCAAGTCTGACTTCTACCTGCTTCATAAAATCATACTTTCTCCATAAATAATATCCGGAGTACCATACAAATAGCTACATAGTCTGACATGCCACCTCACATGCTCCTGGACCTGTTTCTACCAATCGTTGGGTTCAATGTTTGTTGCAAACTGACTCACAGATTTTACTCAGAGTGTCAGGTTTATTAGGGTGCAAGGTTGGAAAGTGAAAGAGGCAAGGAATATCACCAATACAAGTACAGATTTAGTCCATCAGTCTCAAGCCAAATTAGCAAGGTACAATTCTTCAATTAGTTCAGGCACCTTCTCAGTGAACAAGTGAAGTACAGGTTGAGTTCAATAGCACAAATATAAGAAGCCTCTGGTTTCCTCAATCATCAGCAAGCAAAACTTTTTATATTTTTTTTAAATTTTTTTTATTTTTATTTTTGTGTGAGTGTACCGTCAAATCAGATCTGACTGATACAGGAGGAGATTGTCCCTCCTTTTCCTGGCAGAGCATCTGGTGGATTCGAGCCGTGTGCCTCTGGGATTGTAGTTGCAGCTCCTTGCCACTAGGCCACCAGAGCTCCCCTAGCAAGCAAAACTTTTTTTTTTTCTATAATTA